CGCCGCGGCCACCCAGTCCGGCTTAGCCCTGCTGTTGGCGGCCCCCAGCCTCGAGGGGGCCGATCAGGCGGACCTCGCCGGTTTGGCGTGGCTGATGGGGTTGATGCGCGACCCCAGGGCCGCCGGGATCGGGGTAAGGCGACTTCTGAGCGTGAACGCGGAGCATTACATGGGAATGCTCCTCCTCGCGCTGCTGTATACGGTGCAAGCGGATTATGGCAGTGCCAAGACTACGATCGGGCGCATCTTGACGCTCTACGAGGAGGATATCGTCGGTGCGTTGTTGTATATTGTATTGCGGCAGATAACGGAGAACACGGTGCCGGTCCTTCCGACCTCAGCCGTCGGGGCTTCCCTTGGCGAGGGTGGCGCGACTCGTGTTGCCATTGAGGGTATAAACAGGGAGCTAGCGATCGTGTTAGCCCGCGTGGAAGCCTACTCCAACAAGGTGGTTTCTCATCCAATTATTGATGCCGCCTCCGGCGATCACGCGACTCCCACCCTCAAGCGACTTTGCCTTGGTCGTGTCTTGGGTGAGCGCCCCCCGGATAAGGAAGTTATTGACCCGCATGTGGCGCAGCGCCAAGCGGCACACTATTGGTCCTTTCTCGCATACGTTTGTGTTCGACTAAGCGCCTACAGGTTGGCGGAAGTTGTTATTGAGGCAGGTTTGAATTTCATCGCAAACCAGCCCACACCCCACCCTAGGGCATTCGCCGATCTTTTATGCAGCACCACCCGCTTATCGTTGCTCCGGCTGGGAGGGCGGCTGCCGGCCTTCACAATGATTCATGAATTTAATCTTTTGGGCACCTTTATTCCCTTCACAAATGCCGAGTCCTCCTTCACCGCCCTTTTAATGGCAAGAACCGAGGATTCTGGCGGGGAGGGAGCCACGAATTCGCTGAAAGGTGCCGTTGAACCTATCGATCAGCGTGAGTTGTCCATTGCGTTCACCAACCTCCTTCAAGTGGTGGAAATGTGTCCAAACCATGCCGATGCGTACTTGCTCATGGGCATACTTCGGCTGCTTGATGCATCCAAACCCGACCTCCCGAAGAGTGAGCGACATGTGAAACTGCTTGAGGCGGCTGTATACTTTGAGCAATGTATTGGGAATTGCCCTTATTGCGTAGAGGCATACTTAGGTCTTGGGAACGTGCGGAAACTTCAAGAAGCAGACGAGGTTGCCCTTGACCTGTATGCCACTGCATCAGAGGTGTGGTTTAGACAACCACTCATTTCCTTTGAGGAGTTTATGTTTTTATTTGACCGACATATTACTATTTGATATTTAATCCTGCATACGTATTTATTTACATAGTATACCAGCGTATCTCTGGATCGTGGAACTTTATTATTCATTTATTGTCTTCTATTTTTACACTAATTTTTTTTATTGAATGTGATCTCTCATTGGTTTCCTATCATTATTTCAACTTTTTTTATTTCATACTTTTCCTGTGTTTTAAACCAACGTGACAGTTATATATGTGCTTGTATTCATTGCATGAATTTCTCTACTTGGGCTTGATTCTTTTTTTTTTTCCAGGATTCTTTGACTTATTTATAAATCTTTTTGAGAAAGGCGAACAGATGCAAGCATAATAATCAGAGGACTGCCTATATATAAAGAGGAAAAGCTCTTGAGCTACTGTTTTCTTATTGATCTTTCTTGCTATTGCGCTTTACTCATGTTTGCGCGACTTCGTATGCTACTCTGGAGGGCAGAGAAGAGGTTGCCGCGGCGTTTCCGAGAAATCCCTGAGGAGTTTACGGATTTGCGAAGCTCTGATTGCCGTCCAATGCTTTTCACGCCCAAGCGACCCGAACCGCTTCGTGACTTACGGACATTGGATGAAATTGTTATTGATGACGACGCGCTAGACGCCGATAACGGCGCCGGATTCACCGTTGATTCCTCACAGCAGCCCATTGCGCTGTTGGACCCTGAACGGATGGGGTTGCCGCCGCAGCTTGTATCGTATTTGCAGGGCCATCTCACCGAGTCCGCACCCCATCTTTCTTCCCCTAATCAGACGGGCGAATTTAGGGGCCTTACGATGGTGCAGGCCCGAATTTTACAGCATATGTACGCCAATCAGGATGTGGCCGTCTGCGCACCAACAGGGACCGGGAAGACCTTCGCGCTTTGCCTGAGCGTCATCGCACGACTCATGCGGAGTGGGCCGATGAAGTTATTTTCCATTCTTATTCTTGTCAGCAATGATAGTCTCTGTCTCCAGGTAGAGCGGTGGTTAAAAGCGATGTGGTGGTATCCTAACGACGACCACCTAGTCCTGGCGGCCACTTCAGATTTATCATCTAAAATGGTCTACGATCGCTTAACGAGGAAGGCTGTGCGGGATGCGGTTCACCCTGGGCGTGTTATGTATGTTGAGGACCAACGACCCTACATCGTCGTATCGGTTCCAAAAGTCTTTTGGGCTTTTTATGAGCGAAGACGAGCTTCCATCTTAAACAAGGAGCGTCGCCTCGGCAAACGAAGCCACTCTTTCTCCCTCACTCCGGTGATTCCCACGCTCGACCTTATTGTCGTGGATGAGGTCGATGAAGTAATGCCTTCAACCGACCTGAAGGCGCCTGGGAATTCTCTTCTCAAAGAGCTTTTTCGTCATGTCAAGTATCAAGTCCCCGTGCAGATGATATTCACGAGCGCCACACTTGCAGGATCGACGGTGAACCATATTCGCCGTTTTATGAAAAAAGACCTTCTGGCCGACCGGTCTTCGCGTCTTTTTCAGTCTGAGCAGATTCACCAGCAGCGGATGAGGGATATTACCGGGATTATCTCTCGCGCGGTTATCCCGGAGAACATTTCACACCATTTTTACATCGCTGATAGCTTGGAGGAGCAAAAGGAGTGCATCATCGAGGCGATGCGGCGGTCTTGCCTGGGGTTTGAATCCCCACGGGACGTCAATGGGGCCGAGGAAGCGGTGCTATCCACGGGCATCCCCGACCATATACTCTTTATTGTACCGGATACCGCCAATATCGAGCAATTCGTGAAAATGGTGTTGGTACCCAGCCAAGAGGAATTTCAGGCCGGCGAAAGGCGCCAGGGTCCCGCCTCGGACGAATGCGTCCTCCCCGCCTACACCATCAATTTGTTGGATTGCACACGCGCGGCCCAGCAGCGGCAACGACGAAAGAAGGAGGCGATTAAATATCTCCTTCGAACCTCCCATTCGAGCTCTAAACAATTCAACTACGCGTTGAATGAAAAGCGTCTTTTTTACGATCTTCCCACCCCTGACGAAAGCGGCGCAGGGGCCCCCCCGACGTCCCAGGACCCTTCGCGCTCCCAAGGCCCCCCGCGTGAAAAAACGGGCTGTGAAAGGGAGACCCGACCTTCGAGGGCCCCGACGACGGCGCTTTCGCTCTCGCTTTTGGGCTCTTCATGCGAAAAGGACGCCAGGGCTCGGCAGTTTCGTCGGGTTTGTTCCGTTTCCACCGCCTCCAACGTCCGCGGGCTCGATTTGCCCGATCTCTCCCACGTTTTCATCCTCGCACAGCCGAAGTCGAGTTTGGAGTACGCGCACTGGTGCGGGCGCGTGGGCCGCTTTGGCCGGGCGGGGGTGTCCGTGATGGTGATGTCGCGTGGGGCCACGCGCGTGATGGGGCGCTTTTGCGAGGCGTTGAATTTGCCTTTTAAGGTCAAAAGGCGCTTCGGGGAGGTCGATGTCGACTCGGAGCGCCGCATGCAGGTCCGGGAAACATAGAACGCACAACAAATGGTGAAGAACATAGGGGGGGGGGGGAAGTCGAGTTCACAACGACGGTTACGTACCGACTCACATGCATATATATATATGTATATGAGTTTAGTTCAGAAGGGTTGTACCTTTCTGCATTGTTTCTCGTATTTCAGTTTGGTTTGATCACTTCTCCAAGAAGGAAAGTTGGGTGAACATGTGGCCTCGGTTTGTAGTGCAATTCGTATTGTTTGGCCCTCTAAAGAGGGAAGGCAATTGCAAAAATATATGATTCTATTCATTTTTTTAAACTTTAATAATGTATGGTATTCAAAAAGGAATGGTCTCTCGAAACATTTCTGACTTTTATCATTTTATTTGTTCTCAACCTATGATAGTAGCATCAAGCTTTATCCTCAAGCCGAGGCACGCGGGGTTCTTGCTGTAATCTTGCCTCAATTTAAAAGTAACCCGCGGGGTTTGAAAAAGTTTTCAGCGCAACGGATTCGGGAACTATCATTATGGGCACCAATCGCCTGAAAGTCATGGTCGACGCTTTCCATCCCATTGTTGACGTCTTTTCAGCCGCATTCGATGAGCCACTTTCTAAGTTTTATCCCGACGGCGCGGGATTCGATCCGTGTAATTTTCGCAATACTCCGGAGACCCTTCAAGCTTTGATGAAGTGGCTGCCCGATATCGCCAAACAAGTCGTGAGTCGGACTTGCCAAGACGCACTTGGGGCTCCGGCGGTGAATTCCAACGCCGAGTTTGCCCAACGTGATGGGGCTAAGCGGGAATGGGGTGAAAATACTTCGGAAAAGGCAATTTATCATGGGGTGATGTCTTTTCTAGCCTTTGTGTTGGCCCCAGTAATGGCAAATGTCCCTGAAAGCGCGTTGGATTCCATAAAGTTAGAAATGGCATGTTTCCATCTGCTCAGGCTTATGCACGATGTGCCTAGAGAAAAGCTCCCATTTGGGGGCTCAAAGGACACACTTTTGGCGGAGGTTTGGAGGAAGGACAGGGATATCTTTCTTCCACCATTCTCCAAGAATACTAACCAGGGGGGGATTGTTGACCGGCTTTCTTTTTCTAGGATAAGCCTCCAGCTCTTACTTCGCGCCCTATTTCTTGCCTTTTCACACTGCTGGCGGCGGACGACATTTTTAGCCCGGCAGACTTCGGGCAGCAGGACGAATCGTCGGCAGTCGAGCCGTGCGAAGCGCCCCTCTTCTTCAAAGATTGGTCGTCTGAAGGCAGTTAAGAGTGGTGATGGGGACTGCGAATTCAAAATGGAAAATACGGATTCGTGGGAATCGATTGACCCTTTACTGTTGTTTTATCCCGCCGAGTATTACTGTCGACGGCTTGATGCGGCCCTCGCCTTGAAGAATGCTTTTTCGGGATCCTTGTTATCCTCTAGTGGTGATGGTAATTTATTCAACATTGATGATGTTGGCCATGCGCGGCCACGCAGAAAATTGCGCGGTGATGCTAAAAAAAAACGCAATCCGACTCAAGGGATGCGAGGGGCCTATGCACGATATGGGGACTCGCGCCGGCGGTTTCTTCGCTTGAGGGGCCCACGGTTTTTAGCGCAGGGTTGTCGTCGTGAGAGGTTATTTTCGGAGGAAAGCAGTGCCACAACGACAAGTAGTAGTAATGAGGATGAATCGATTTCCTCTTCGTGCACAAGTGAAACGGAGGCTTAGGATTACAAAAGTCTTTGTAGTTTTTGATTGAACGTTTCGTTCAGAAATCTCAAGTTACGTTGGGTTTCCATCGAGACAAAAAGAAATATTACCCCTTTGAGCGGGATTTTCCTTTATGCAAAACATACTTCACCCAACATCTTTATAATATATATATATATTAAAGATTATTAACCTTTTTTTTGTTGGGAGCTGCTTACCTTCTGCTTTTACATTTTTTATTCTATTTTTTCCCGTATATACTTTTTTTATATTATTTCACTTAAATAAATCAAAGATTTTGGATGTTTAAAAAATAAACGTTCAAATCTATTGATCTTCTTTCAAAAATATTCTATTTTTTATCATTCCCACAAACCAAAAGGGAAAAAATAAAAGGATTATCGTTGTTTTATTGCCCCTCTCCCATCATAATTCACCCTTGTTATTACAATGAATGCATAATGTTAGCGCAAAATATTTACCTTTTTTAAAAAAGCGGACAAGCTTTCTTTTTTATTATTATTATTCTTTTACTAGTTGTAAGGATACGCACACCCATATAGACGATCCCCTAGGTGTCTGCTGGGGTGTGGGCTTAACATTGGTGCTTTGGACCCGCGCTGTGGTTTAGTTCGCCATGGAGGATGAATCGATCGAGTCGATTGTCGAGCAATTGACCTACACCAAAGGCGTCGTTGGGGTGTTTGTCTGCACGGCGGATGGCGTGCCGATTCGGGATAGCTTTCAAAACCTCGACCGCTCGGTCGCGATGGCCTACGTGGAGATGGCGTCGGAGTGCTGTCGGCGGGCCTCGGCGTTGTTTTCAACCCCGATCGTGCGCTCGCCGGCGTCTTTAAAGGCCCCTGCCAAGGACGCCGGCGAGGGGGAAAGCCCGAAAAAGACGGATCCCGCCAAAGAGAAGCCGCCAACGGGCGGACCCATTATGGAGAGCTCGCTGGAGCTGCTCCGCATCCGGACGCGGCTGAATGAGGTGATCGTTCAGTGCCATAAGGAGTTTTTGCTGGTCATCGTGCAGGAATCGGATTAATCCGAAGCTTCAATCGGATGTTCTTTCCATGGGATTATGCGGGCATCCCTTTCGCACTTTCCCTTTTCCGTTATTTCCTATTTCGTTGGTTTCCAATTTATGGGTGTGGGCACCTGACCCTCTTCCTTGAATTCCTTATGTAAATTTTTAGGCCAAGGATAAGTCGTAGTGTGCGTTAGGTATTTCATTGGAATTGTCATTAGAGTGCATCCTCCCTGTGAACACGCAAACTGAATATTGGTGAGGTGGTGTAGTGTATTTTTTTGATCAGTATTATTCATTTGCCTCCTTTGTTTTACTTTATTATTCCCATTATTACTATGTTATACCTATATATATATATATATCTATCGATATGTATATATCAAGCTCAAAATACGCAATAAACAGGGGACCCCACCACCCAACAAGGCCCCCCCCGACCGGTGAACGTGCACTCCCCGAACACAGGGCATGAAGGGAAAAGCGGCGTTCCA